AGGAGACATGCTAGAAAGGAGAATTATATCTGTTAGGATGATATGGGAGAATAAACTGTTTCCATAATCTCATCCCAGGCCCATAAAGGAGTCTAATGATTACAAAGACGTATTTCTGTTTCATCTGTCAATTAACATGTTAGTCATCCGTTTCTATATGGTTGCAGTAGTGACTGATAATTGTCCTACTTAAAGTGGATTGTACCCTTCTTCTTCATGACTAGAAGCCAGATGTCTTGCCAATGGGTCAAGTGCAATACCTTCTCATAGTTCCCTGAGGCTTGAGGTGGCCATCTGACTAATGAGATGCAAGCTGCAGTATAATGGAATTCCCAAGAAAGTTCTGCCCTCCCCTCTTAGGCCTCCTACCTTGTTCCTCCCATCCCCGTTTGTGTTTTTGTTTGTTTGTTTGACAGTTGTAATCTCACAAGCCCCTGTGAAACCCAGACACTGACAATGACAGCACTAAAAAAGGTGGAGGGAGCTTTCCAGATGCAGCCTTGCTGACTTTTGGCTGCCTCCAGGAGAACTTATCCCTTTCCTCTATAAGCCGCCATAACAGGATCCTGTTTTGTGAAGTTGACACCAGGTCCTAACCTCAGACACTGTGCTCAGTCCTCAAGAGCGAAAGCTTTTCTGTTGGAGACTCAGGTATTTCCCATTCATCAAACAGGATGTGAGGAAATGTCAAAACAGAAGCAGCCCCAAGTCTGACTTAGCTCTGGGGAGGAAGCGAAGCCTGTTGCTGGGAAGGGCTGCCCCTGACACTGGTGCTGCTGCCACCTCTGGGGGCCACCCGCTGCCCCTGGGATGGCACAGTATTGAGCACACAGTGAAAGGTGGTTTCCACGCCTGCAAACTCTGTTCTAGTGTAAGAAAATTTCTAATGGTCAGGAAATTAAAAAAAAAAAATGTAGGTGGACTCAGGCATGCCGAGTTTGTTCACTGGGTAGTGTTCTTACCCATGGTTGGCATTCAGATGCATACTTTTTTATTAAAGTTTCTAACTCTTTCATCCTCTCAGGATAGCCATAGAATGGGAAATTTAAGTTCCCAATGGAACTTTTTTGTTTGTCTTTCATTTGTAGCAATGTAACTTAGCTCCTGTGTGTGTATGTGTGTGTTTGCATGCCAGATGTCTGTTATTGCTCAGAATGCTTTCCATTTTGTGTTCTGAGACAGGCTGTCACTGGTCTGGAATTCATCAGCTGAAGAAGATAGGCTGGCCAGAGACTCCCAGGGATCTGTCTGTCTATCTCTGCTGTCCTAGTGCCAGAGTTATAAGCATGGCCAGCATATCTATCTCTGCCTCTGTCTGTCTGTCTTTCTGTCTGTCTGTCTGTGTGTCTGTCTTAGTTAGGGTTATTATTGCTATAATGATGTTTCATGACCAAAAGCAACTTGAGAAGGAAAGGGTTTGTTTGGCTTATATTTCCACATCTGTACTTCATCATCCAAGGAAGTCAGGATAGGAACTCAAACGGGGCAGGAGCCGGAGGCAGGTGCTGGTGCACAGGCAATGGGTTGCCAATCATGGTTTGACCAGTCTGCTTTCTTATGGAATCCATGTTTACCTTCCAAGGGATAGAACCACCCACAGTAGCTTGGGCCTCCCTCATCAATTACCAATTAAGAAAGTGCCCCACAAGCTGTCCACAGCCCAGTCTTATGAAGGTATTTTCTCAGTTGAGACCCTCCTCTCAAATGAATTTAGATTGTGTCTAGTGGCATGAAACGTACTCCCTCTCCCTCCCTTTCTCTCCTTCTCTCTCTCTCTCTCACTCTCTTTCTTTTCTTTTTTTGAGATTTCATCTTATTTCAGAGTGTGTATCGCTGTGACTAGGCTTGTATACCTATGTGGACGTTCCCAGACAATCCAGGAAGAGAGTGAAGGGTACCATGAAGCCAGAGTTACAGGTGGTTGTGATCTGTCTAGTGTGGGTGCTGGGAATCAAACAGGGGTCCCCAGGAAGCACAGAAGGCACTCTTTCCCATTAACCCATCCCTCCAGCCCCTCTTGGTTCTGGGGATTCAACTCAGATCCCATGCTCATAAGGTAAATAACTTAATTGATCATTTCTCTAGCTTATCCCAACACTTTAGACTATCAGAGTTGTTACTTAACTTGGATTTATAAAGTTAATGTGGCAGTAAAACACAGTGACATTTTGATTTTCAGATACTAATGAAATTATTTTTATCTGTATTTAAAGCCATATAAATAAGATTAATTCCCAACTACATTGTTACTTTTAGGTCCAATAAACTAGCCATTAATGACCATTCTGGGGCAGCAATTTCTATAAATACATAGATATTCTTTGTGGGAAAAGAATCTTTTTCTTCTCATGGTGCAAGCCAGGCTGTTTAATGGGTAGATGTTAGAAAAGCTGACTCTTTTTTATATTTAATGATTGACCCCTTGATCAAGCCTGATGAGAACTGGCAAGTTGTAAGGGCTCAACAGACAATTGTTGAATGAATGAAAGAACAAACAAGTCAACAGATAGTTATTGAATGAAGGAAAGAACAAAAAGTCCCCTGGTAGCCTGACTGTCTCGTGAGTTGAGACTATGAGACACCTGTGTTCAGTGTATGCAGCGAGCAAATAAGTGTTTATAAGCCCACATCACAAGAGGGAACATACGGTGACGCTTAAAATGGAAATTACCCATTCCCTCTCAAGACCTGCTGAGTCAGAACCTCTACAGCTAGAGGCAGAGGAATCTACATTTCAACAACCTTTGCTACACTCAAAGCAGCCTAGAGGCTTCTGCACAGTAAACTTTGAGAACTGTGGGCAGCTCTGCTAGCTGTTCAGCTGAAACCACCACATACTGTAAGACCCTAGGATGAGGGTGGAATTGCACCCAGAGCGGGGATTTTTGGACTATTCTTTTGCAAATGTGCATTTGTCTGGTGACACCTGCTGGTAGACAGTGATAAATTGACAATCTCAGCCAGTGAAATTTACAGCTAAATCTCCTCAAAACCCACGTGTTTGAGAATGCTAGAATCCAGACTTGCATCCACTATTAGCTCGGAAATAGATTCAATTAGTACATACTTGAGGGGCATCATCCTTCAGTTACCTTAAACCCAATTAGTACATACTTGAGGGGCATCATCCTTCAATTACCTTGCTTTTTTTTTTTTTTTTTTTTTTTTTACATTCAATACATGTATTCTTTCTGTGCTCCTTGGGAGCATTACCAACTTTGGGGTTATCACTAAAAGATGTATTCAATTTGTAACTAGGGGATTTATTCCCAGAGATTGTGTTACGGAAATAAATCAATCTTTATTTCTCATTAAAGATTCCACTTGAGATAAAGAAAAACACAAAGGAGTCCTTTGAATTCTTAGGGATGGGCATATGAGTGAGGGCGGGAACAGTTCATCCTTTTTGGGAGAGGAAGGGGTTAAGGCAAGTCACTTCTCATCACAAGGCAAAGAGGCACTGAGGAGGTGAGACCTGGGAATGTTTTGTTTTTGCAGATTCCACATAGATATGCAGGTTAGAAGCACCCTGGTTTTTGCGAAGGCATGTGGGTGTGAGACAGCACCTAAGGCTCATGGAGGAAGCTACGGACAAGGTCCTCCTGAAAGTGACGAGAGAGGAAGCCTTGAATCAGGCTGGGACTCACCTGCACACATTTCATCCTGTAGGTAGGGCGTGGCCGAGGTGAGTTTGAGTTGAAAGCATGCTTTCCAGCCGGACTGTTTATTCCTTTGGAGTATTAGTGCAGAGCACAGCCTTTCCTGTTCCGGTCACAGTGGCTGAGCGCAGCTGAGTGGTTAAGACTAACTCTTGGTTAAGATTGTCTCTGATGGTTGATGGTTGAGAATTTCATGCAGATTCAACATGAAAATTCCCAGTCCATTTAGCGAGTCTGTTGCTTTTGGGAATTAGCTGGGTTTTTGTTTTGTGTTGTTTGGCTTATTTCGTTTTGCTTTTTTTTTTTTTTTTTTTTTAAGAATAATAGGTGTGTTTCCATAGTAGGGTGAGTTGCTCACCTAGGGAACATATGCACACATGATCAAGACCTCTTTTCTGGAAGATGGACAAGCTGTCGCATTGTCTCTCCTTCCTCTCATCCAGCTTGGCCTTGAGTGATATTATGCATATCTTTCACTTGTCCTGGTTGGGCAGAAGCATCATGGGAATCTGATGAACTTGAATGTGGGTCTGGCCAGCCTCATCGCTTTGGCAAGTCACTTGACTCTTTACCAGGCAAAGGGAAACTAATGATGCTTTGAGGATTCAGTGGGGGAAAGGTGATAAAATGCCACGTGCCTAACACAGGTGAGTCCTTAGTGAAGCCAGCTGAACTTGGCTAGCGCTTCGCCCTTCTTCTCCCCACTACCTTGATACGGCGAGTCATCAGGAGGCCACTCAGTGCACTCTTGGGCCTGCAACACTTAGAACTGTTGCAGAGTTCATGCTGCTCTGTGCTGTTCTGTTGGGTCTACCTTTAGCACAGATTGATTTACAGCAATCTTCTTTGGACAGATGTTCTGTCCCAACCTCTGTGTAAAGATTTCAAGGTCTTTCCGGAATGGAGTCTGACAGTCATTAACCAGACACCCTACACTCCAAGAGGACTCCAATCTGTCAATATTTACTCACATGACCTGGACCACAGCTCTGATGTAATTCCTCAAAGCCAGGGTTTCCTGGCCTATAGACCAGGCCATGCCATCTACACAGATAAGCAGCTTGTATCTGACTGGCCCAGCCCCAAATCAGGAGAAGGTCTCTCAGCCTCTCCTGCTCAAGCATGACCTTCTTATTGGCAGATATTGCTTAACAGATATTGCTGCCTAGAGGCTTCCTACTCATTAGCTAAGTCAACAGCCTATAGTACATTATGAGAGATTTGGTTCAGAGTTCATCTTTGACTTAAAGGGATCACATTTTAGGGAACACCCCCAACATAGCACCCCTTTCATTTTACTCATCTCTCCTGATTTTCTTGCAGATGCCAAGATTTTGGCAAATTGCAGTGGAACACATTTGGCAGTGAATGTGGCAATGAAAACAGAGCCAAGAAACAAATGACTAAAAAGACACAAAAGGAAAAGGCAGGCGAGGAACTGTAGTGCTAGCATAAAGGCATGAGATGGGAAGCATGCTGGCCTGGGAAGCTTACCAGCTCTGACCAACAATAATAGACACTCCTGTCCAAGGGAAGAGCAAAACAGCCCAACATGTGTGGGTAGCGATGGGACCGCAATCGCTCCCTGATTCCTCTGTACTTAAAGGATTGTAAAGTATGTTCAAGGTTTAATAAGGGTCAGAAGGAGGATTATACCTTTCTCATTGCTGTTTTATAAAGAGAACCTTTCAGGAAATGTGTACGTCAGGAGAAAGCACCTTCGGATAAATCAGCTGTCCTTAGCTGGGATTTAGAAAGTTTCAACACCCTGTATGGTCCAGGAAGCTTCTTGTTTGCTTGAAAATCTAAAGTAAACACAAAGAGATGAGTTCCAACAATTAATTTAGTAATCCGTGCCTCCTTGGCAGTCCTCTCTGACGGCAGTGTGTTGCTGGGGGGCCTGGACCCACTGCTTTGAACTTACGCCTGCACGCCTTGCTGTCCCGAGCAACAGCTGCCTCGCAATCCCTCCCTCTCTCGGCCATTCAGACATTGAACTGGACCGCTCTTTTGTCTACCATCATTCAGCACAAATGCATGGTTCCTGGAGCCCTCCCCATCCACAACCCCAGGATCAGAACAAGAACGCGCCTTCTTGTTCTGCAGGTTGCCAGGGGTTGTATAAGAACTGAGGAGAGGGATAAAATGTCCTATTTTACTTTTTATTAGGCTTCAGGAAAAAAAAAAGGAAGTTGAAAACAATTGATTGAATAAATGTCAAAAACGTAACTTATGTTATTTGCAAGTTGGGCATGGAATACTAAAATCAGAGCATTTCCTTTGTCCCAGAGACATGTGTGTGTGTGTGTGTGTTAGAGTGTGAGACAAGTTAAAAAGATGCATTGTTTTCCCCAAGATTCACACATCCCTTCCCTGCACATCAATTTCTTTCTCCCAAGAAGGATGTCTACAAAGTGCCAGGGAACAGGGTGAATTGTGCTTATCCTAGGATGGTGGAGACAATGGTAACAGATTTGCTGCTAAGGAAAGTGTGGCCACCATCTGTTTGGAAGGAGACATGGACATAGAGAAAAGATAGTTATGTGAATAAACAAACAGATGCCTGCAGTTCCAAAGGTTTAACCATTTAACCACAGTCTCTCTGGATTGAATATCTGTATCTGAAATGCGTGAGACCATGTGTGTTTTGGTAGTTGTGAGCCACCAGAGGCAGGCGCTTGCAATCAAACTGCAAGATCAATGCATGCTCTTAACCACTGGGCCATCTCTCCACAAATATTCATTCGGGAATATTTGTCTGCACATAACTATCTTAAAAACAAGACCAAAATTTAAGCACAAAATTCATTTATGTTTCATGTACACATTAAATATGTGTCCCCTGATTTTGTACAATCTTTGTAATGTGCCCAGAGTTTATGACCCATCACATGAGGTCAAGTGAGAAATATTCCATTTTATGGCATTATGTTGATACCTCCAAAATTTAAGATTTTAGAGTATTTCATATTCCAGCTTTTCAGAGAGTCAACACTCATCCTGCACTTTATACAAAGTCAGAGATATCAGGCCTCTAAATGTAATTTCACCTTAACTTTTCTTATTTTCCATTATGAAACAACACATAGGAATGGTTCCCAATGTTTCAAATGTGCAGTCTGTTAAGAGAAACCTATTGATATTTTATGAACTGCGTTCGTGGGATAGAGGTTAGAAACAACTAGCAGTTAGTGAGCTACACACACTTGGCCAGAGCTACTGTGATGCGTGCTTTTTGCATAGCATGTCTTTTGATCCTTGTGTTTTTGGTTGTGAGCCATCTCTCCAGCCTCTTTTGATCCTTATAAAAATCACGAGACTCTAGGTAGTGGTAGCACACGCCTTTAACCCCCACCACTCAGGAGGCAGAGGCAGGCAGATCTCTATGAGTTTGAGGCTAGCCTGGTCTACAGAGCAAGTTCCAGGACAGCCAGGGCTACACAAAGACACCATGTTTTGAAAAACTGAAAAAAAAAAAAGATTACAAGACAGTTGGCCTCTTTTCAAAGATGAAAAGATGAATATGTGGTGCCTCAGGCCCAAGAAATTACTTAAGAAAATCTAAGGGACAAAATATACATTATCAAATGCTGCCGTTTGGCTGAGGCCAGTCTAAGCCCCACATCGTGCCTATTGCCTGTGTATAGTTAAGGTTTGTTGTTGTTTTGTTTGTTTTGATTTTGGCTTTGGCTTTTTTCTCCCCGTTCTTAGAGTGGCATCACCAAGTAAAATAAAGAAGGAAGTGTAACTTACCCAGACTGGTGAGCCACGTAACCAAGTTTATGATTAGGCTGTTGACTGCTGTTCTGCTTTTACTGAATCCTGCAGCTCACCTAGGTCTAGGTAGAGAATAAGGCTGAGTCAGTGCCTTTCCCCAGCCTTTTCCTTTCAGCAAACAGAACCACTGTTCAATCATTGTTTAAGCTGGAGGCCCAGATGCCTCCTCCTGTTTCCTTTCCCATATTCCAGCACTTCCTTCCATACCCTGCCATTTATCAGAGTATTGAGAAGCCATCTTATAGAAGCATTAACTTAAGCAGGCACCGTGAAGCCTAGTGTCAGTGTGTAAAGAAAGTAGGAATGCGTTGATGGCTTATTCATCCTGACTATAGCCAGGTAAGTAGGCGCTGACGCTACTGAGTGTAGAAGATGAAGCTGCGAGCCACGCAGAAAGAGCATGGGGAAGAATTTGAGAACAATGGTACAGAAGTGTGTATGTACTGTGCTGTATTTTTTTTTTCCCCTGTGGATGATTTAAGACATTTTTCAAACCCAACTTTGTTTGTACTTGGTTCCCTGCCCTTGCTCTCCCCTTTCTGGTTTCTAACCCCTGAGCAAGAAGGTCACAGAGCCGAGGAAACAGCTCATTCAAAACTGAAGACCACATTCCAGAAACCCAGGACTCTGTGTGTGTGTGTGTGTGTGTGTGTAAATGTGTGCGCATGTGTGTGGGTGCCCTCAGAGGCCAGCAGATGTTGGATGCCTGGAGTTGAGATTACAGGCATCTGTGAGCGGGTGTGGGTGCTGGCCAGTAAATTAGGGTCCTCTGGAAGGGAGCGCTTTTTTTTTTTTTTTTTGAGTATTTATAAAACATTTTTAAATTTAAATTTACTTACTTTACATCTCAAGGGCAGCCTCCTCCCTCCTTTCCTCCCAGGCTCCCTCATCCTCTTCCTCCTTCCCCTCTCCTTTTCCTCCCAAGAAAAGGGGATTCCCCTCCTCCACTTACCAACCCTCCCACCACATCAAGTCACATCAGGACTGAGCATATATCCTCATCCCCTGAGGCCAGGCAAGGCAGCCCTGCCAGGGGGAAGTGATCCAAAGCAGGCAATAGAGTCCGTGTTGGGAACAGCCTGCTTCTCCCTTCCACTGGCCAGGCCACCCACATGAAGACCAACTCACCCATTGACCACATATGTGCAGGGGCCCGAAGACCAGACCATGCATGCTCCTTACTTGATGTCTCAGTGTCTGTAAGTCCCTGTGGGTCTGGGTTACTTGGTCTTCTTGTGGGGCTCCTATCACCTGCAGGTTCTTCCATCTTTTTCCTAACGCTTCCACAAGACCCCTGGAGCTCCGCCCCATGCTTGGCTGCAAGTTCCAGCATCTGTCTTCATCTGCTGCTGGCTGGAGCCTCCCAGATGACAGTCATGTTAGGCTCCTGTCTGCAAGCATAGCAGAGCATCATTAATAGTGTCAGGGGCTAGCTCTCTACTGTGGGGTGCCTCTCAGGTTGGGCCAATCATTGGTTGGACATTCCCTCAATCTCTGTTCCCTCTTTATCCCTGCACTTTTGTAGGCAGGGTAATTTTGGGATCAAAGGTTTTGTGGGTGGGATGTTGTTCCCCTCCTTCCACTAGTCCTGCCTGGCTAGAAGGTGGTCGCTTCAGTCTCCCCCACTAGGAGTCTCAGCCAAAGTCACACCCATATCCTCCCAGGAGCCTACCTGCTGAAGTCCTCCAGCTTGTCAAAGGGAGGTCCCCTCCCTCATTTTCCCTTCTTCTTCCCAGCCCTCTCACTTGCCACGCCCATTGTCCCCACATCTGATCCCCATGCTTGTTTCCCTCCCCATTCCATCTCCTGCCCAGGTCCCTCTCTTCACCCACTGCTGATGTGTGTTCTGTTTCCCCTTCTGAGTGACATTCCGGCAGCCTCCGGAAGGGAGTGCTCTTAACTGCTGAGCCATCTCTCCAGCCCACCAGGAACATTCTAAAATATGAGTCATGTTACCCTCACAGATAGGAATACAGTATACCTTACAGTGACATGGAAAAAGCCCCTGCTTCATCACCAAGCGAGAGGTGCTGTGTGTTTCCTGTCTGAAGGCTATCAAACACGCGGTGCCTCTGCCCTTTTTTGGCTTTTCAAACGTCCAGTTCTTCAGCCTTCATGTTTAAACTTTTTAAAAAGGTTTATTTTTCTTAGTTTTAATTAGATGTGTAGGTGTATGTAATTTCTTGTGTGTATGTGTGCGCATGTAAGTGTTAAGTATCCACAGAAGTCAGAGGTGGAGTTACGGACAATTGTGAGCCACCTGATGTGGGTGCTGGGAACAGAACTTGGGTCCTCTGGAAGAGCAGCAAATGCTCTTAATGGCTGAGCCATCTGTCCAGGCCTTTGTGTTCAAACGTTTCCCTCAGACAGACCTCTGCAACCAAGTTGCTGACCCTGACATTTTTCACAGCATAGTCTTCTTCATGGCAATGCATCATAATTTATGTTCGTGTAATTTATTTCTGTTTATTTGTTTAATGTATTTCTTCTGCTCAGTTGTAAGCACTGTCAAAAATGTACAGACAAGCTAAGTACCATGTGAGAGATCAGTAAAAATGTGCATTAATTAATTGATACAACAGAATATTACTAAATCAATAAACAGTTTTCAATGGGTACTACCAACAAAGAAAGCCACATGAGATATAATTTTCAAGTGAAAAAGTAGGTTGTATAATGATGAAACCTCATGTTTATTTAAAATATCAACAAATGCTACAAATATTTCAGAAATATATGTGTAAATACTGCCCAAAGTATTGTGGGAATTGTCTGGATTGGGATATTGCGGCTGTAGTTCATTTTCTTGTTTTTGTTTAGCTCTTCAGACACTAACAATAAGGGCTGGAGAGATTGCTCAGCGGTTTAGAGCACTTGCTGCTGGCGCAGAGGACGTGAGTTCTGCTCTCTGCACCTACAGGGCAGCTCACAACCTTGTGTACTCAGGTCCAGGGTGTCCCATGCTGCCTTCTGCCTTACACTGGCTCCTGCATGCACTTGGCAATCATACGCTCACACAGGCACACCCACACACATAGAGACTTAAAAAGTGCATACGACTCTTTAGAAATTACTAATTTCACATTCCATTTGTAACAGCAAAAATTTAACTTTGTAGCCGAATAGCTACACGAATATCTACCTAAACAGCAAGTTTCCTGGCACGTTGTCATTGTTCCTGGAAGCAGCCTGGCTGTTCAGCCTTGAGAGTCGGCTCAATCAGGCCACAGCACAACTGTTCAGTGTAATATCATGGAGCCATTAAAAATGACTGTGGATTACATGATAGCATGGAAAACACTGTAGAGCTAGTAACAAAGAAGTGGGAAAATAAAAAATATTTAAAAATAATGTCATTGAACTGTGATGACAGAATGATAGTCATTCTCTCCTCTCTTCCTTCTCCTCTTCCTCCCCTTTTTCTCCTCCTTCTTTTAGTTAAGCTTCCTATGACATCAGTTTCTACACTAAAATATTTTATTTTAGAAATAGGTATGTGGGAGCTGAAGAGTAGTTAAGAACACTTGTCGCTCTTGCACAGGACCCAGGTTCAGTTCCTAGCACCCACTAGGTGGTTCCCAACTCCAAAGCCGAGGGACCCTATGACTTCTGAATTCTTTTTTTTTTTTTTTTTTTTTTTTTTTTTTTTTTTTTT